TCAGCTTTGACTTGAGGTTTCAAAAATTAATAAATTTGTACAGAAGAAAATTGTGTGTGTGTGTGTAGTACATATTTCTTTAAAATCCAATTTAAATATTGTTCGAGCTATCGATCGAGATCTGTCGATTTTTTCCGTGGTTCTACGCAATTAGGTAGAGGGCGCGAAAATTTCAGTTTTCGTGATACAGAACCTCACATTGGTCTGTTATATATCTCATCTTACATGTATTAAAATTTTATAAACTAAGAATAATGAGTGGTGGAGTAGTACCCAGCAGATCCACTGTTTATATTTCAAATTTACCTTTTTCGTTAACAAATAATGACATACATCAACTTTTGCAGAGTTATGGAAAGATTGTGAAGTAAGTTAAAGATTCTTGCAGCATTAATAATTAATAATGTATTGAACACAAATTATTAATTAATGCACTGAAAAACAATGTTATTTTTTATAAATTTGTTACTATATTAATCCAAAACTTAATACATTGTTATGCAGTAATTAAAATTAATTTGACCACATTTTAGATTCAAAATTATGAAAATTATTTGTAAATACATTTTTACATAATCATAAAGTGTTAAATATTTAGAGATTTATTTTAACAAATATATACGATCTTGTGTTTAAAGTTTTAGCAGAACGCTACAAATTTTTATTTCTTACTTTTTATTTCTATAATTTTAATCATTGAATTTGTCTGCAACTATGATGTTTTTATTTACTGATAGAGTAACAGTAATGAAAGACAAAATCACACGACGAAGTCGTGGTGTTGCATTTGTGCTATTTCTTACTTCAGAAGATGCTCTCTCTTGTGCAAAAGGTTTAAATAACACAGAGGTATGTTATTTTATTGTTTATGTATTAATATTTATTTCACCTTATTTTTAATGAATTATTTTATTATAGATAGGAGGCCGTACAATTAAAAGTTCTATAGCAGTTGATAATGGACGTAGTACTGAATTCATTCGCAGGAGAGATTATCCAGATAAATCTCAATGTTACGAATGTGGAGAAGAAGGTCATTTGTCATATAACTGTAGAAATAATACATTAGGACCAAGGAACCCACCAGTGAAGAAAATTCGCATTAGAAAGAAACACAAAGCTAATAATGGTCAACACTCAAGCGATTGCAACAAAAATAGTGAAGATGAATTAATAGAAGAAAATTGGGAAGATGAAGTAGAAACTTTAAGTGCTGCTATTGCATTTGAGGTACTATTTATTTAAATAATATTTCTCTTTGCAATTACAATTAAGAAACAATGAGCATAATAACATAATTTTGTTGAAATTTATTATTATAAATATAAAGTGAAAAAATGTGATGTTTCAGCAAAAGCAAAAGGAATTAGAAAATAGTCAAAGATCAGGATCTAAGGGATTTGATGAAGAAAATCGATTAAACCAAAAACCAGGGAAACGATATAAGAAAAACCAGTATTTCAGTGATGAAGAAGAC